AAAAAAAAAAAATTCTATTTTGTCATATTTTTATATTGATGAGCCGTATTTATAAAACTTTGTAATTATTTAGAAAACCATTGATAAAAAATTTATTAGTAAAATTACTCTCTTAAAATATCAACGAAACAACCTTTCCTATCAGAAATATTTTATGATTGAGTAGTCTTTTTGGTCGTAATCGTGTGTATAAATAGAAAGAACTAATGCATAACAAAATAATAAATGATTATTGGTGGAGAGTGTTCGAATCTTGATTGAAGTTTAAAGTTTTTTCTAATATATATATATATATATATATGTGTGTGTGTGTACTACGTATTGTTATTGTATATAAACTTAGCCACAACTCCTTGTTTTCGTTTTCAAACATTATTTTGTTGATTTTCATTAAATATTAATTCACGTAGTTTTCAGCTATGTAGGCAACAAAGTTCCGTATCAGATATAAGTGCATTGAAAATTTGTAGTATGCAGTGTAAACTATATAGTAGGAAGTGTGTGTGTGTGTGTGTGTGTGCGCGCGCGCGCGCGCGTGTGCGTGTGCTTATGTTAAACAAGTGATGTAAAATTATGTTTATAGTTATTTCGATTTTCCGGTTCAGTAAATCAAAATGAACACAAATGTGTATTCATCTGTCCTCTCCCAGACGTTATTTATTGATTGACTAATTATATACCTATATGTACCTCATCAGCTCTAATGAAACGATACAAGTTTCTCAAGACTCGCAGAATATAACACTAAATGTTTATTTCCTTGGCTGCAGAATCGTCTTACATTTATCTTGGGATCATAAGAATCGAGTTCATAGCACGGTCATTGATTTATTTTATTGACCAATGTTTTAAAGAAAGAAATTACTGAATTTCATTAAATTATGCATGTTTATTAACAGGCTTGTTGGTGTGCAAAAAATATTGCAGTTTGAAGCGTTTTATTTTTTTTTAAATCATAAATAATACAATTAACAAATAGATTTCAATCAATAAAATAAATGTATCAAAGTATAATTAATTTCGAAAGAGGTTTTTGCAGTACCATAAACATATACATATATATGATTAATATTGTAATATATAACTCAATAGACTTTATTCAAATATACCTACAATTGTTTGTTTTTGTAAAGTACAACTGTGAGTTAAATTTAACTATACAACTTGATGATTATATATTATGGTAAATGCTAATTAAACATAATATTGAATCGTATGGAATTTTTTCAGACTAAAATATTAATTTTTAGAACTAGCAAGCAACTAAAAAAGTAAATTAATGATTCATATCATATTTAGTAAAACATGTATCTCTATTCAATGGCAACTAAAATCAATAAAAGTTAATAATATTAATATTAACGAAACTTATTATTAAATATATTACTTTAGTTAATATTAACTAAAAATTACAAATACTTATTTTATTAAACATGTTGTTTTGGTCAATTTTCAATAAGACTTTTTTTGATAGAAATACACTTTTTGTTTATTAGATTGTCAGTAACATGAATAATTTGATTGTTATACAGTTAAATTGGGAATCAATAAATAGGATATAGAGATGGAACGTTTCAAGGATAATAAATGTATCAATTCAAAATTACAATTGTTAATATTTACCATACAGTTACAATAAAAATAATTTCCAACATCTCCAAATCATTTGAATATACCTATACAGTTATATTTTATATACATAGAACAGTATCAATTTAGTCGACTATGTTAAAAAAAATATTACTAATATATCAATGAGTATCGATTAGTATGACGGTCGATGAAGTATATATATATATATATATATGTTTTGCTTAATTGAGGATTTGGTTTTAATTTAAATGCTGAGCCAGGTGCATAGATTCACATATAGAACGCGCTGGATTATCAAAATGCATAGTATCTACTATTGTATAACAAGAACTAAGCATACACACATCACAAACATGTTACTTTAACGAGGTACCAATTTATCACACAATATTATAGTGGCAATACGTAACTGTGGTGCAATATTACCCGAAGGCATTTATTAATATGAATACATATTATACTCCCTCACTAGGTGTATAATAATCGAAGTTATTTTCAAACAAAAGATTTATTCTTCGCATAAAATGCGTTTAAAACTAACCAGGTCTGAAAGTTTTAGACGTCATTCTACATATCGTTTAACAGATTATAAATATTAGTCTGAAAGCTGGAACGTAATGTAATAGCGTGCTAAAGAGGGAACAAATAAACTTTAGTATTATATGTGTATAATATACCACCTGTTTATCATGGTTACTACCGCACACGTATAAATATAAGTCCCTACAGGTTACTCCGTAATGAGCCAGTCTTCTATACCCCATTGCCGCCACCGTCACTGCTCTTAAAAACCTTTACTCCATACCATGTACACCTATTATAGCTATAATATGTATGTATACATATACATACATACATATATACATATATACTACTTCAATACGTTGATCCATGCACTTGCTAATCCCTTCGATCTCCCCTGAGACTGTCTACGCAATGTACCGGATTATACTCAACGAATAATGATATTATAATATATGCACGTGGATCTGACTAAAGAACGATGTGTTAAATTTTTGAAACAAATAGCATGAGTTAAAGACCACCTTTTGTTGTCTTCTGACATTGCCCACATTATAATATAACCATTGATAAATATACATTTCATTTTTAAACTTGTCCATATTCCCAAAAATACGATACATGGTGCTTCCTAAATTCTGATTGACCTCACTACATTATTGCATACAAAACCGTCATTGAACCAAACACAAGCTGAGAGCATTATAATTAATATAAGTAATATAATCATCGTAATATGCGCAAATAGAAACTTAACTAACTTCCTCTCTAGATGATGTGATGAACCCTAACGGACTTCGATCGAGGTAATAAAATTATATGAGCACAGGTATTGTGGTAAAATATATGTATAATCAATTTCGTAATTAAATTCAAAGTGCCCCTCCTCCCATCAGTCTCGAATCTAGAAATTTAAGTGTATTATGGTTTTTTTTTCTTACGAATATCTAAAATCAAAATTTGGATCATTGAATCGCGATTTTTCATCTTTTTATGTTTATCTTCTTGCTAAAATTTGAAGTGAGCCTACAATATTGAGTAGTGACAAATTTTGTCTGTATATAAATTATTATGAAGAGTCTAGTCCTAGTGGGTCTGTGTTATTTTGATACTTATTACCCCACTCCAAAATGTGAGCTCTTGTTGCGCCTATGGTTACTGTATGTCAACGATGTATTGACATCGATGTTCAACGTGTTAAATAACAAATTACTGTGTAATATTTTTCTTCGGATATATGTTATAATTCATACATAGACGTAACTTGGAAATTTAATTGGGGTGAGGGGGAAATATAATTAAATATGTAACGAAAAGGGTGTACGAGGCTAAACGTCGATTTACTACCTACATATTATTATATAAAATTATTCATTTTCTAACATTATGTTAGATAAGCGAACATTTAAAAAAATTTTTTTTACAGTAATAGCTACAACTAGCTGTTTTGTACTTATTTTAAAACAAGGTATGTTAAATATCAGCGGGGGCACTGCCCTTCCTAATTTATTCTAGGGGAAATCCCCCCCTTGCCTCCCAGTTTACACCTATGAATTCATACATATTTTATGTTCATGACTCTTTTATTCTTTATAAACTTAAGAGCATCTTTATACTAACAGAGCCAGGGTTAAACATACCTAGATCAGGCACAACTCACCATACGAGGATTTGATAATGCAAAGCAATGGGGTAATAGTGTTTTCATTACTCCTACCAATTTGAAATAGTAAAATATCGTCGATTACTATTATCGTACGTATATCGACTGTTGCATAGTGTGTACGTCACGCTTAGACAATTTGTTTAAATAAATTCATACAAAAACGTCTAGGCATCATTCGGATATTATATTTAATTATATATCATATTAAATCGTCAACGGGCAATAAATACCACGTACAGCGAATAAAACTTTAAACAATATTGAATAATATAATCAATATCCAATACAAATGCTTATTTTGACACTAGAACATGCCACTCGCACACAACCACAGAGGCTCAGTTTCATATTTTTATAAGCCGCCAGTGGTAAGAAAATCAAAACATATTCAATGGCGAATAGGATTATAATTTTTTTTTATGAGATTTAAGTAAAACCATAACGCTAAGTTAAACCACAATCAGAGACGTATTTAGAGTTTTGACGCCCCAGGTACAGTTTTATTACCACTCCTACACACATTTTATACATTTTTCAAGAAAGATAACATTTATCTTTATTTTACGCGATCAACTTTTGATAATATTATCATGAAAATAAAAATCGCCATGTGGTTACTTTGCAAAATATTAAAATTTTTCGATTGATGAATGAAAATAGATAATGGATTATGGTTACAAAAAAATGCTGCCGCCCCTTAATTCCAAGAAAATGTGCCACCCGGGGCGATAGTACCTTCTCACCCCTCCCTAAATACGTCTCTGACCACAATATAAAATGTATAAATCATGTATACGGTAATAATTAAAATATTAAAATAATCTAATGTACCAATAATCTAACTAACCAATAAACCACTTAATACATATAATGACGTTTTTATTAAAACTAAAAATAATTTTTATTCGATACAACTTTTTTTTTTCAGCAACATAATTGAACTTTGTGTAGGTAACTAATTTATAACTGTTTGTTTATTTGTAAGATTTTTGTTATCTAAACTGATCATTAAGTAATATTACTTAAATTTATTGGGTAATTAGTGTTGAAAAGAAACGTTAGTTTTGTATTACTTGTCGCATATAAACAAATAATGGTAATGAAATTTGGCCATTAATTTATGATTACAAATTTTTTTTAGCATTTTATAGTTATTAATTTTAAATTTTCATAATAAATGATAAATAATTTCTTTACAATATTGTTTGTGTGTAATTACCTCTCTTGTTGAGATGATCCTCGATCATTACTGAGCTGATCATATACACATTACCGATACTGCCGATGACGGATAGACCGATCATAATCAACAACCTTGCCACTCTGCTCCATTCCATGCTTAGGGTGACTGGCGACACGGCGTCGCTGTCCACCAACGGTCCATCGTTTATTATCGTCGTGCTCATCACCGACTCGATGAGAGCTGTAGATGTCTCGTTCGTCACGTTGAAATTTTCCAACATGGCAATCTGAAAGAACAAGTGACGAAAAAAAATGTTATCGTGTAATATAGTTGTTTTTCGTTAGAAAACGCTAAAAAATCAATATGTGTTTGCAGTAAAATATAATATATGTATACAGTACTAATTTTATTCAGTTATACATTTATATAAATAAAGAACTCTTTCCATCTATCTTCAGAGCGGTCGTAAAATAACTATATAAATAGCATTATTTAAAATCCTCATTTAATTGCTTATCAATAACACAACAATATAATTGTATTTATCTTCTGTATTATTATATTTTAATATATATAACTAGGATTATTGTTAATATATTCAATGTACAAAATTGTTTTTAATATTTATTTTGATCGAGCCAAGTCGTTACATTAACAAGTAACATGTCTCTAGCAAAATGTAATAATATTCCTCATATCGTTTTTTTTTTTTCTAAAATTATTAATTGGAAATGGATTAATGGGATTAAATTCTATAGTTAGAAAATTATGTAGTACTACATAATGGACAAATATTAAGTGACAAAATAATCTTACCCAGTGGCGTAGCCAAGGGGGGGGGGCTAAGGGGGCTATAGCCCCCCCCATGGACCGTGTTTATATGTTTAATGTATCTTGACTATTTAATAGAATCAATGGATGTTCGTTTTAATCAAAGGCTTATTGATGTTATGCCACTTGAAAGACTTCTTCCGGCCAATTTAAATATGTATGACGATAAAAATATCATAAAAGCTGCTAAAATATATGTCCAAGATCTCTATGATGATAACTCATCTACAATTAGAGCTGACCTGTTCATATGGAGGCAACAATGAAGTCAAAATACTATTCCAAAACCGAATTCTGCTCTTGATTCACTCTCTCATCGCACCAATCTTTGACCTAACATTAAAATACTTTTACAATTATTCACCACGTTACCAGTTACCTCTTTCACTTCGGAAAGAACGTTTTCAACACTTAATCGCTTAAAATTTTTTTTAAGAAGCACCATGTCGGAAAATAGATTGAATGGGTTAGCTATAGCTAATATAAATAAAAAAGAGCAATTCAATGAAAGCGAAATAATAACTGATAAATTCGCCTAAGAGGATGCAGCTGTCAGAGTGGAGCAAGTGACTGAACACTGAAACCAAAATTATTATTATTATTATAAATTATATATTAATAAATATTTTTAAAACTATACTAAAATGCTTGAATTACGTTTAGAAACTTGGTGGTAGATGGTGGGGGGGTTAAGGGTGAATTTTCATATCCTCTCTTACCTTACTTATCTAAAAAAGTGATTAGCCCCCCCATTTAAAAATCCTAGCTACACCACTGATCTTACCTTATGTTTATATGATGTAATTGAAAGCACAGATCGATAAAAATAATTTACTTTTGATAACAAAAAACCGAAAAATGTCGTTAATTTTTAACACTAATATATACTCGATATTATAACAAAACATGTGGAATTAATGATAATATAATATGTTCGTTCAGTGCCCACATTATTACCATAATTGGAAGTAAAAAATATCTTTGTAACAAAATGGATGCATCCGAGTTCCGTCCCAAGAAATTTTTTCATACCAATTCCGTCCCAGTTAAAAAAAAAAAAGTATATACTAATTTCGTCCTTAATCATTTTTATAATTTAGTCTTAATAATTTCTATAATTATTTTTGTTATAAAATGAATTACAAAAAATATAAGTTATCATATTATTTACAATTTCATAAGTAAATCGTAATAATATATATATATGGTCCAAATTTTCGAAGACAATTTCTTTTTTTTCTGATGTAAAATCTGTTATCAAAGGAATGGTGCATAAAAATTATTTATTGTTTTTATTGAGGTATTTTAGAAAAAAAAAATGTAATTCATTTTTAATAATTAAAATTTTACCTTTTTCACTGTACATATATTGTATACTATTCATTTATATATATGTTACCGGCAAAGTGTTGAATCCGGCATTCTATAAAATACCAAACCTCAAGCAGGCAATGTATATAATTGACGTGTAATTATATTTTAGTGAGTATATTTATATTTTACAGACATTTATATGTTCGACAATCATATATAAGATATTACAGATAAGTTGCTTATCATGCCATTTTGTGAAAATAGGTAAAATAATGTTGTAACATAACTGATTAAGAGATAAATACATGATGGATTTAATCAAATTCAAGTTTCAATTCAGTGTTCTTTGATTTCTTGTTATACAAAGATGTCGGAACGGTTTCATACCAAATTAAATAAAACCAGAAAAAGTTTAAAAATACTGTTTTTCTATCAAATGAGAAATACGATGAAATATTACATGAAGTTTCTCTATTTAAAAATGGTCAGAATAAAAAGAAACGTCACGTGCTTATTGGATGCTTCAAAGGTATTTATCTATTTTTACCAAATTATTAGCTATATATTAAAATTTTATTGACAATTTGTAAATTTTCTTATTTTCTTTATTTTTGGTTTTTATTAGATACGATATTTTATTTGTACAGCAAATTAGGAAATAAATTTTTCCTGTAAATGGAGAAGTTAAAGTATTATTTTACGTTAATGATGGCGAACTATATGAAATTCTAAAAGCTACACATGATTCTATTGGTCATGGTGGCCGTGACAGATTAATTTCTTAACTTTCATTAAAATATAAAAATATAACTCGGAGTGATGTAGAAGTTTTCTTACAATTATACGAACCGTGTCAACAGAAACAGAAAGGCATAAAAAAAGGAGTAGTAGTCAAACCTATTATTTCACTGGAATTCAATTCGCAATGTCAAGTTGACCTGATTGATTTTCAGTCACACCCCGATGGAAAATATAAATTTATTTTTGTATATCAAGATCACCTTACCAAATTTATTATTCTTAAACCATTTGAATATAAAAAAGCAGAGGAAATAGCTTTTAACCTCATAGATATTTTTACGCTTATCGGAGCTCCGTCTATCTTACAGTTCGATAACGGTCGGGAATACTCAAATAACATTGTTTCAAATTTAAAAAACATGTGGCCTGAACTTCAAATTGTTCACGGTATGCTAAAGCACAGCCAAAGTCAAGGTAGTGTTGAAAGATCGAACCAAGACGTTGAGAATATGCTCACAACATGAATGCAGACAGAGAAAAATTCTTACTGGAGTCAAGGATTGAAATTCGTTCAATTAATAATAAAAATAATAATTATGGAAAATAGGGCCTTACATTCTGGAATTAAAATGTCATTGTTTGAAGCATTGTTTGGCTGCAAAGTCAAAGTTGGGTTTAGTACTTCTAATTTACCAAAAGAAGTAATCGATAGTTTAGAAAACGAAGAACAATTACTAGAAAAAATTGAAAAAAATAAAGTTCAATGTTATGAAAAAAATAATGTGATGACCATAGATAATGCAAATACTATTGAAAAGTTAGAAGATCCAATATCTACGATTCAATCAAATAATGAAAATGAGTTAGAAAAGCGATGAGAAGCTAAACTAAATCTTAAAAATTAAGCAGTTAAAATGAAAACATGGTCAGATAAAAAACTTAAGCCTGCAGACATTGGTGCTACAGTTCGAGTTCAAGTTCCTGGTGTGGACAAAAGTCGGGGAGATGCTTGGAATATTTTAGCTGTTGTTATTGAAGAAAACATAATTTATGAAATTATATATAGTTATTAATATTTTATTGTTTATGATTATTTTAATATGTTTTCAAGTTACTGATGATGATTATTATCGTTTGGGAACCCGGGAAGGCTTACTTTATATTCCAAATCTCAGTTCACAATTTGCCAAAAAAATATCATTGAGACACATGAAGTTCCAATAGAAAACACTTAAACTTTACAAACCATAGCAATCCAGCAGTCAATGGGAACTGGACGAGGTTTTTTTTAAATGCACAGGCAAAACTAAATGTGAAACCAAAAAATGTTATTGTAAAAATAATAATATTTTATGTAATTTAAAATGTCATGCATCAACTGTATGCTGCAATAAATAAATTAAAATTATAAACATTTTTTGATTAAATATTATTTTAAATTCTAACGTAGCATTGGAATTCTATAAAAATCCTAGGAATTTTATAGATTGCCTAGGCATTATTTAAAATAAAATTACAATTTAATACATTGCCAAATGATACAAGGGATTCTATAGAATACCTAGGATTTCTAAAGAATACCTATTCTCAACACATTGCCGGTAACATATATATATATATATATATATTAAATGTCACGGACACGCACAAATAACGACTGAAAAGTTTATTTGGTTTAATAGATGAAAAATAATATTATCTTTATTTCTATATAAATAAATAGTTAAATTCGATTATTTGGTGCGATAACTGAAATCATATTGTCTTTATTTCTAAATAATATGATATTGTTATTTATTCAATTTGAGACGAGATGGAATTGGTATATCTATTTAAAAAACTCGGGACGGAACTAGTATATTTTTAAATTACATTTTTATTTTTGGGACGGAACTCGGATGCAGCCAACAAATACCCGTGTTACAACTAACTTTGGCCTTTCCTACTACTCAAGACAATATATTAGGTACTAATAACTTAAGTATTATTATAAATTATTAACCTAAGTAACTTTCAAAACACAGGAATGTGTTAAAAAAGAACTACACAAAGGTCGATTCTAAGTGGATCCGGTATTAGATTAAAAAAAAAAAAATCCACAAATATTAAGAATTCACCTGACTTAAATATTACCAAGAATTTAACTTGTAAATTTTGAGCCTGAATTGAAGAAAAAAATTGAGTCGCCCTCCCTCTCTAAAAGTAAGTCTAAAAACTCCCTTGTGTTTTATTTTATAAGACTGATTATCGATAGTATATATGTATATATATATATTTAATATTTTAAAAAATATAAACACAATTAAAAATTGTTGAATTTTAACGAATAGAGTTTCTGTACATTATGTTGTAATTTTATTTTAATAATCTATTTTTATGAGTTACCAGGATGTTATTTAA